GAGGGAGGGAGGGAGGGGGAGGGAAGAGAAAAAATGAGAAGACGCCGGCCTGGGATACAGGGCCCTGGGATACCCATCGGAAAAGCTGTGGCTCTGACCACCCTTCTGCATGGCTGGGTTACGAACTTCAGTTAGCTGCACAATGCATAACACGTAACCTACTATGCCACCAGCGTCCCTTTTAACCTTAGGAATCTTCTATTTGGGCTTCATATTTTTCTCTTAGTAAATTGCTTTTGTGAGTTTTCATTACACAGACCATTTAAAGAATTCAAAGCCATTTATGAAGATATAGTTTTTATTCCAGATGGGACTATTAATTAGATAAAAATAATTAATATCAGTTTTCTTTTTCAAGGAGCTCTTTTGATTCTATCACACATGTATGTTTATGAATTCGATTGTTTTAATATTTATGAAGAACAAATGAAATGATTCATTTGGACAGATTGTGGTGTATATAACAACCTTAGAATGAAGATCTTTTTTTTTCAAGTTATTTAAAAATTTTTTTTAATCATTTTATTGGAGGCTCGTATAACTCTTATTATCATCCATACATGCATCCATGTGTCGAGCACATTTGTACGTTTCTTGCCGTCATCATTCTCAAAACATTTTCTTTCTACTTGAGCCCTGGTATCAGCTCTTCATTTTCCCCCCTTCACTCCCCCACCTTCTCTCCCTCATGAATCCTTGATAATTTATAAATTATTATTATTTTGTCATGTCTTAAACTGCCCGATGTCTCCCTTCACTCACTTATCTGTTGTCCATCCCCTTGGGAAGGGGTTACATGTAGATCATTGGGATCGGTTCCCCCTTTCTCTCCTTCCCCTTCCCCTCCTGGTATCGCTATTCTCATGATTGGTCCTGACAGGTAGAATGAAGATATTTACAAGTAATTGAGATATTATAGAATGTGTTTTATTTAAGAACTAAAAGGGATTTATAATTTTTTAAAATTTATTTTATAAATCATTTTATTGGGGGCTCTTACAGTTCTCATAACAATCCATATATCCATTGTATCAAGCATATTTGTGTATATGTTGTCATCATCATTTTCAAAACATTTTAAAAAAACATTTTCTTACTCCCCGAGCCCTTGTTATCAGCCCTTTTTTCCTCCACCCCTCCCACCCTCGTGAACCCTTGATAAGTTATAAATTATTATTATTATTATTATTTGGTTGTTTTCTTTCTTTCTTTTAAAAAAAATCATTTTATTGGGGGCTCATACAACTCTTATCACAATCCATACTTACATCCATGTGTCAAGCACATTTGTACATTCATTGCCCAAATTATTATTATTTTCATATCTTACACCGTCTGCTGTCTCCCTTCACCCACATTTCTGTTGTTCTTCCCCCTTGGGGGTATGGGGTGTGTGTCATATGTCAATCTTTGAGATCAGTTCCCCCTAAAATAGATTTTTTTTAGAAAAGGAAAAAGATTTAAATTAAGAGACTTAAAGGTAAGCTTGTTTCTGTTTCTAAAGCAGGGTTTCTGAAAGAGTTCTGGAAAAACCTACTCACTGCCTTCAACTCACGTGAGTCGGAATCCACTCGATGGCAGTGAGTGAGTTTTTCCAGTAACCCAGACACCCTGCTTTTTAAAAAATTGCCTGAGTCAATTTAAAGATATGCAAATAACTAGTTATCGTGTTTTATTGTAGTCAAAGGGACGGGAGCTACACGGTCTGGTTTCATACAGCCTCAGGAAAACTTTTTTTGGAGGGGGAAATTTTTTTCCACATTCACTGTAGAAGGAGCCCAAGTGGCACACTGGGCTAAGTGTTGGGCTGCTAACAAGTCAGCAGTTCAAGCCCACCAGTCACTCTCAGAAAGGTCAGCCTGTCTGCTCCTACAGAGGTGTGTAGCCTGAGGAACCTGGGGGAACAGTATACTATCCAGCAGGGTATGATGGGCTCTAAATGACAATGCAGACATTTTCAACTATTTTTGAAGAACAAAATTTAGATTAACTAGGTAAAAAAAACAAAACAAACAAAATTTAGATTAACTAGGTTAAAAAAAAACCTTAAAATAACTGAACTTTATTTCTGCAGTGTCTTGTGGTATATCCTTTTAAAAAAAACATTTTATTAGCACTTCATCTACATGTCATACAACTCAATACTTCAATCATATAATTAAGATTGTACAATTGCCACCATATACAATTCTATAACATTTTCTTCTTTGTACTCACTGTTGTTCATGTCATTATTTTTTTCTAATTGTGGCAAAAATATACACAGCTGTAATTCTCCAATTCCACAACTTCTGCCTGTGTAATTCAGTGCCATTGATTATACTCTTCATGTTGTACAACCATTGTTGATATCCTTTTCCAAATTATTGTGCCACCATTGATATGCACTCAATGCCCCCTGAGCAACAACTCTTGCCCCTTCACCTATGGGACCATTGGTCCATTTTTCTTTCTTTCTTTTTTTAATGATTTTCTTGATATAGTATTTACATATCATATACCTCCATGGTTAAATTGCTTTTTAAAATAAAAAATATATATGCATATATATAAAATCATAATCAGTTTTTTTTGGTTGTAAAATCAAAGTACTACTTTATTAAATGAGTTATTTTACACAATATGAACATCAATATAATTACAATTGTAAAAAAATTTTTTAACAAGGATGGACTGATTTTTGGATTTTCAAATCAGAGTCAACTGTCCATTTACACAGAATTGTCTTTGCATGAAGCCCAAAAGGGAACCGCATAAAAAAGAGTGTTTCTGTAGCCCCTTTATTTTTGCTGATCAACAGTTTGTTAGAAAAGCAGCTGCAGGTTTGTTACCTAAGGTCTGAGACAGTAGAAGAGTCAAAGGTGTCATGAATTCACCTGTAAACGACTTTATGCTTGAACATCAGCCAATTCTGGAGGAAGTGGAGTCTTAGGATGTTTGCTCTCAAAGTGCTGCTTGAAGGTCTTAGGGTCTGGCATTTGTGTCCTACAGACAGTGCAGGTATATATTAAAGCAGCTTTGGCAGCAGCCTTTTGGTCATGTCCTTGTTTCTTCTTTTGTCCAGCTTGATTTTTGGCATTTTTCTGCTGAGACTGGATCTTCTGCTGCCCACGAGCCATATCCGGGCTGGGACAGTCTTGCGTCGGAGAGACCGCGCAGCTGGAAAGGGCCAGCGGAGGTCGCCGGAGGGAGAGGAAATCATAATCAGTTCTAGTGCACACTGCCCCCTCCAGCATTCGTTGTTTGCTCCCCAAATCCCCTCACACACCCCAATACTCCCACACCCTCCATGCCCGAAAAAGCATTGCACCAATTATTATCTCTATGCATCTGTTCCTCCTGTGCTTCACAAACTGGGAAACCCAGCAGAAACAATTAAAAAAAAAAAGAGTAAAATGGCAAGAATAAAATAATAACATAAAGACCAAAACAAAAACAAATAAAGAGCAGGAAAGAAAAGACCACCATCAATATTGAAAATCCAGGGAAGAAAGTTTTGTTATGGAACAAGCAAGAAATACTTGAGCCTAGAACAAATTTGAAAGGGATCAAATTGGGTCAAGAGAGAGGTCAATTGACTAAGTATCAAATTATACCACGTTCGATCCACCATAATCAAGTTTACAATCATCTCTTTCTGATAGTAAAGCTGTTCCAATCCCTTGCCTAGGCTAGTGGGAATCTGCCAGAGACACTATTCCAACTGAAAGCTGGGCACCATCTGCTTTCTTCACCACCCTTTGCTGTAGCTCCTTATCTTCAGTGATCCTTTCATGAAGGTGAGTATGGAGCTGGGCCATGTTATTAGAACTAACTGTTCTTGGTTTGGGACTAGAGTTCAGTGGGGGTCCAGAATCCATCTGCTTGTCCCTGGGATATGCGCGACTCAGTTTACTGTAGTGGTTGTATTTTTTTTTAAATCATTTTATTAGCGGCTCATACAACACTTATCACAATCCATACATACATCAATTGTGTAAAAAAAATTGTGTAAAGTGCATTTATACATTCATTGCCCTCATCATTCTCAAAACATTTCCTTTCCACTGAAGCCCCCAGCATTAGGTCCTCATTTTTCCCCTCCTTCCCCACTCCCCCCTCCCTCATGAGCCCTTGATAATTTATAAATTGTTATTTTGTCATATCTTGCCCTGTCCAACGTCTCCTTTCACCACTTTTCTGTTGTCCGTTCCCCAGGGAGGAGGTCACATATAGTTCCTTGTAATCGGTTCCCTCTTTCCTACCCACTCTCCCTCTATCCTCCCAGTATCGCCACTCACACCACTGGTCCTGTAGGGCTCATCGCCCTGGATTCCCTGGATTTCCAGTTCCTATCTGTACCAGTGTACATCCTCTGGTCTAGCCAGACTTGCAAGGTCGAATTCGTGTCATGATAGTGGGAGGGGGGAGGAAACATTTAGGAACTAGAGGAAAGTTGTATTTCTCGTCGTTGTGTAGTGGTTGTATTATGACAAATTCAAAACCCCATAAGACCAGCTACCCCCGCAACAGCAACCAACCAACAACAGACAGTAAGAACAAAACAAAACAGGCAAACTAAAGGCAGGAAAACAAAACCCCATAGATCTAGGAAAGTAAAACATTGTCAATCATCCGCCTAGGGTATAAGGAGATTGTTGCACTTGTAATGTCATCAGTTTTTTCAATGACACATCACTCTGGACACTGTAGGTGTGAGGAGTCCATGCAAGTACAGTTGCACCATGAGCCGTAACCCATTTCTACACAGTTCAGTCTCTACACTAAGCATAAGGGTTGGTGCCAGGGAGAAACTTCCTGGATCAATTCTTCCAAGTTCAAATCCCCACCCAACACATCAAAACCTGTCATGTCGCTTTGAGGAGGGCATCGAGATACTAAATATATGGTGACTCTGGGTCCCTTTCCAATGGACACCCAACAAACGAGGAGTTCTCCTTCAGGTCCAATGACTGGCACTTCCACAGGTCTGGGCATAGCCACTCTCTGCTTCTTCTCCCATCTGAGTACTCCAGTCCTCAGGTCAAGGGTGCAGGAAACTTTGAGGCAGGGCTCAGTTCATTCTCCTGGGCAGAAATTCTTTTTTTTTTTTTTAAATCATTTTATAGGGGGCTCGTACAACTCTTATCACCATCCATTATACATTCATTGTGTCAAGCACATTTGTTGCCATCATCATTTTCAAAATGTTTTCTTTCTACTTGAGCCCTTGGTATCAGCTCCTCATTTATTTTCCCCTCACTGCCCCACCCTCCCTCATGAGCCCTTGATAATTTATAAATTATTATTATTTTTTCATGTCTTACACTGTCCGATAGCTCCCTTCACCCACTTTTCTGTTGTCCATCCCCCTGAGAAGGGGTAATATGTAGATCATTGTGATCGGTTCCACTTTTCTCCCCCACGTTCCCCTTCCCCTCCTGGTATTGCTACTTTCTGTCCTGGATTCCCTGTGTTTCCAGCTCTGATCTATACCAGTGTACATCCTCTGGTCTAGCCGGATTTGTAAGGTAGAATTGGGATCATGATAGTGGGGGGAAGGAAGCATTAAAGAACTAGAACTAGAGCAGCGGTTCTCAACCTTTGGGGATCGAATGACCCTTTCACAGGGGTCGCCCGATTGATAACAGTAGCAAAATTAAAGTTATGAAGTTGCAACAAAAATAATGTTATGGTTGGGGTGTCACCACAACATTGAGGAACTTTATCAAAGGGTTGCAGCCTTAGGAAGGTTGAGAACCACTGAACTAGAGGAATGTTGTATGTTTCATCAGTGCTACACTGCACCCTGACTGGCTTGTCTCCTCCCTGCAACACTTCTGTAAGGGGATGTCCAGTTGCCTACAGATGGGCTTTGGGTCTCCACTCCGCACTCCCCCTCACTCACAATGACATGATTATTTTGTTCTTTGATGCCTGATACCTGATCCTATCCACACCTCATGATCACACAGGCTGATTTGCTTCTTCCATGTGGGGTTTGCTGATTCTCCACTAGATGGCTGCTTGTTTATCTTCAAGCCTTTAAGACCCCAGATGAAGGATCTACATATAACCTCCTCCCTGGGGGATGACAACAGAAAAGTGGGTGAAGGGACACATCAGACAGTGTAAGACATGAAAAAATAATAATAATTTATAAATTATCAAGGGTACATCAGGGAAGGGGGA